GTTTTCTGATTAAAAGGAAATACATACATACATACATACATACATATATCTGTATGTACATATGTATGTGTGCTTAGTTTTATGCTCCAGTTTGCACAACAAAAGCGGGAATTACTCTGCAGGAAACATCTTGAAAAGGTTGTGGGCCAACATTTGGACAGCAAAAGCTTTTTCCCCAAGGCACTGGCACCAAAAATAACCCAAAGTAAATATTCTAAGGATATTTCGTATATTATTCTGGTAGCATTACAGCCCAGTTGTAAATCTTATATTATGGATATATCATTTATAGCAGTTTAATTCAATATATTGAAATTTATCTAAACCAACTTCAAGTCAGGGAAACAGAGGCATGGGAGAAATACAATCCGACAGTTGGTGGTGCATGCAAGAGGGGAGGGGCGGGCCCCCGTACATGTCTGTATCTGTAATAAAGTGATGATTATTCCTGCTGAAAATTCCGAGAATTTCTCGTATTCGTTTGACACACTTTTTGCTAACAAACCAGACAAAACCTCTTTGTACAGATCCATCAACCTCAACACTTTTGATGCCAGTGTAAACTGAGCCCAAAGGAAAAAACTTGTTACATTTTGTTAAATGGATTTAACACCCCGCAAATGGCAGGCCAACAGTGCCAGGCAACAGGCAACTGGAAACAGGCAACATGCCGTTTAGTAAATTCACAATGAGAGCAGACTGAAATGCATAAAAGGTGTCAACCGAATTGTGAATTTTCAGAATGTTTTTTGCGTTGTGTTTGGGGGTGCGGTTAGCCAGAGTTATTAAGCCAAAAATTGTAAATTTGTAAATTGCCATGTGGACTGGACGGGAGTGGACTGCACAGCACTGCCATTAAATGGTTGCCAGTAATTAAATATTTAGGCATACTTAACTGCCCAAACTGTCAGGCAAAAGTCAAAGCCAGGCATTAGCATTTCATTTCGTTAACAATTCCAATTTCAAATCCATTTTCATTTCCATTTTCATTTCCATTCCAATTCCAGTTCCTGTTCGGCTCCGAAGCGATGGAGCATGAACATTTACTGTGGGCGGCCGCATAAGGGGAAGGGGTTTTGTTTTGGGGTTTACCAATCTATCCATCAACAGATTTTGCTGTGTGGGTCCAAGGCGAACAACAGCAAAGAGATATTTCAGAAATCGTATTTCTCTCTCTATTTATCTACGTAAATATTGTGAGTTTCTCAGTCCCCATTTAAGTAAAATTTTTAGCTGCAGCAGTATCTGGATAATCGAGCGGACATATACTTGAGGGCAAGTGTAGCAGACACCTTCCCTACACGACACAATTTAGTCCTAATTTATCCATAATCTTCATAGTACTCCCTGAAATCTGATGGCTGTGGCTGTCCTTCTACACTTTGCTTGCAAACTTACACTCTCCTCCGCAACCCCGCAAAATGGTCATCGCTTGTCAGCTACAAGGTTTGTTGTCCGGCAGGACACTCCCTTCCATGTAGGACAAAGCGCTCTTATCGCTCAGAGCCAGAGCCAGAGAGAGCGGCCAGCACGTATAGGAAAAATTGCTTTCCCATTCTCTGGTCACTTTTATGGATTTACAGGGGGGTGGGGCACTTTCACTTGGGGGAAGAGTGGGCCCTGTCTTTGTTTGTCTCTGTGCTTAAGTAGCCGGAAGTGTGCTGGATTTTTTCCCAGTTCTCGCTGGCCGGAGAATTAATTGAGTTGAAAACGCTTTCGATGCTGTTCTCGTGCTCTCCGGCGGGGAGCATAAGATCCGAGCCGTGTGTAAAAATAAATAAATAATCGACATCGGCTTAACATTTATTGGTTATAAATTGAACAGTTCGAGCGTAAAATATAAAGTGGATTATGGTTTTAATGCAGCACAGCACACCACCATATAGTTTCGATAACGGATATTAAAGGCCACTCCATGAGATACATTTCACAGGCAGGACAGGAGAACGTTAGCCAGAGAGATTATCCCCGGGCTTTGCTCGTGAACCGTTGCTGCGAATGAGTCCTGATGATGATGATGTGGATGTCGAGGAGCAGTGACTGAAAGTCCAGTAGTTCAGGGATTACTTCATGGAAGCACCCACGGACAGTGATAAATGTATCTTTTGTGCTCAAGACAGATAAAATGTTAACTCAAGCATCTGTCAGGGCTACATAAAGCGTGGATTCGCATTGATTCCTTTAATTTGAATGCTTTGCAGACACTTTCTAATTATAATCCGAAAAATAAGCACTGATTTAGGCGCCATTTTAATGATTTAAACCATTGAAATTATCCCAATAGCAGCCAATAGCTTTTGGCTACAAAACAAACGAATCAAGCACCCGATCCGAATCTATTAAATATTAACTCTATTCAACTTGGTCTAATCCCTAGCTCCCCCTACATCACCATTACCAGAATCAACCTTTTTGACTAAATTAAGCAGTCACTCATTGAAATTTGCACAAACAACCAAAAATGCCGCATACAAAATATGTAATTTCGGAAATCAATTACCCAACCCCTCGGAAAGCGAGTGGGAGAGCCAGAAGGCCTGAAGGGAAATGCTGAATTGAATTAGTTGGAAATGTTTGCAGTGTTCTTTGCCGAAATAATCATAGGCAAAGTCCCAAAGATGCCTAAAAGGCAGAAAACCCCAATCCTTTTGCTGCTCCAAGGGCATGGGAAATCTGTTTGGCAGGGAGGCGCAATCAATTACAGAATCGGTTCACAATTAAGAGTGGAAGCCGGGGATCTTCTCGTGCTCTCGCTCTCAAATGAATCAATTTGGGGGGCCTACAACTAATCCCTAAAAGGGGCAGCTGTCCTCTATCGCCCTCTAAATGCGTCAAAAGCGTCCCAAATGAGGCTTTTAATGGTTTTACGATTTACCAAACAGCCGAACACAATCCCTCCTCACGCGTCTGCACGCCTCCCCCTAGCTGGTGTCCTTTCGCGCTCTGTGATTAATTTATTTTTGGCTGCCACGGATCACGATGAGGTTGGGCTTTCGAACGGGTGGTTGGTGGTTCATGGGGTTGGTGTCTGGTGGCTGGTGTCTGGCTCTTTCCCAGTTGTCTACACATGTAGCCATCAATCGGGCATCGGGCATTGGGCCCGGCCTAATCTGTTGGTTCCGGCAGGAGCTTGAAGGGTTATGGCTAATGATTCGAGGAAGTGAATTAGCTTGTTTTTGTTTAGTTACGAGTGTGTTTCTGCAGACTCGACAGGGAAAACTTACAAAGCAAAAATACACGCAACTTCTTCACAATATTATCCATAGATGAGAATGGAAATGTGACAGGCTGGCAGGCTGGCAGGTTGGCAGGGAAGCAGAAATCTCGAATCTAATATGAAAACACTCTCCCGTATTTCGGGATCATTATCTATCCAATAAGCATTAATTCACGCTCTCACGCCGTGCCATTATCATTAGCAGAGACAGGCACAGACACAGACGCAGAGAGACCCAGACAATCATGATATGGGGGCAATCCAAATGCAATCGAAAGCGAGGCGGGGCGAGGAAAACAAGCTGCTAAATTTCGCACGCAGCTCCCTCGAAAGGCAGTCAGACAGGGACTACGACGAGTAGTCCCTGAATAAACCAAAGATGCTGACAAGGATGGAGATGGAGAGGGGCTGGATGGAGAGCAGAGTGCTGCTGATGACACACACTGAGCAGAATAAAAGAAAAACGAGACCATTCAAGACTGAGATGGAGAAAAAAGCAACAGAATCGCATAGCTAAAGTAGCTAAGAGATACACATGTATCCGCCAGATACCATATACCAGATACCAGACTCGGAGCGAAGTGTGAATTATCCTGCCTCAAAGTATTTAATGCGCTTTACACATGCCAGCCAACAGAAAGAGCGGCAAGCGGGAAACGGGAAGGACTGAAGGCTAATAATAGCCAAGGAAAAGCAGAGAAAATCCCAAAGAAAAACATTGGAAAAACATTTAATCATTACTCACACAAACTCAACTCGAAAATGCTCGCTGCTGGATGGAATGAACTGTGGAAAGTCGCCCAAAGACGATCAGCCGAAAATGGCTGGAAAATTAATTAAAGAACGTGAAAATGCAACATGCCTGACCCCATCGTGCAGTTCAGGTTATTAAATATTCTCCACTTCTTGTTAGGTTTCTGTTTTTTTTTCGGTTTTGTTTTTTGTGGGTTACATAACCAGGCATTACAAATTACAGAATTATTCTTTTCTCTCTCGGCCTCTCTCCCGCAAGAAAAAAGATGAAAACTGAGATGAAAACTGGTTTACCTTTCCTCGAGGGAAGCCAAAGAAGCGAAGCGATCTACCTGACGTTGGTTAATGCTCCTCTTCGATGATGTACGGTACGGGCAGGTAGGAATTGGAATGCGGGCTCCTCAATACCATACTTATTTCTCTTTCTCTCTCTCTCTCTATATCTCTCGTTGCCTGTCCCCTGTCTCTGTGTTGGCAGGACCTCCTGCTGCTTTTCCTGGTGGTGGTTGGAAATTGTTTACTGCTCAACGCAACAGGATATGCATTCTGCTCTCCACCGACCTGCTCGTTCGTAGCGCAAGCAAATTGCTCCAGACCCCAGATGAAGACATAAAAGAACCAACACATTTGACCTATATGATGAGGCGATATCTGTAACCGATCAACTTCCAGGAATAATGCACATGCCTTGGATATCAGTTGGGACTTTAATTAGTGGAAAAAACTATGTAGTACAGAACTGAAGGCAGACGAGAAGGCTTTTCCCTTGGCTTAAGACATTTCAGAATCCCGTCGGACATTCACAATTTTATTTCGAGTTGTTTCAATGGCAGCAACAGGCAGAAATAAAATGGGCACTGAATGAAAATGAAAAGTTTCTACATTTATTTAAAAAAATGCAAAATGCTCGTACCAATACGAGTATATAAAATTGACTCTTGACAATGATTTTTCCTGTGAACTCACACTCACACTCTCCCAATTCAATTTGTATTTAATTAGTATAGAAATGATCTTTGAGCAAACGCACCTTTCCACCGACTTTCAGCTCGTAGCCCATGCCCAGCGGCGTCTTCAGCTGGACGGGGCAGACGAATCCAATATTGCGATGGGGAATCTCGACTCCCAGCTGGTGCTTCCTGGTGGTCACCTTGGGGGCGCTCCTGGTGGGCGCCGGGGTGGAGGAGGTGGTGTTCTCGGCGACGCACAAGTCCTCGCCCCCGTGGACGGGGAACTTGGAGCACTCGAGGTTCTCCGGCCAGTTGAAGTTGTAGGTCTTCATCAGCTTCTCGCAGACGCGCGCGGACTCGCAGAGGGAACGGCAGGGCGGGATGGGGCGCTCCAGGATGGTGCAGACGGGCACGTACAGGGAGCAGAGGAAGAGCTGCAGGTCGTCGCTGCAGCCGATCTTGACGAGCGGCGCGAACTGGTGCACCTCCAGGCCGGCCTCCTCCTGCTTGGTGTGCCCGATCAGATTGGGCATAATGGTCATGTTGTAGGGTATATTCTTGCAGATCGAAATGGTGATCGCCTCGCAGCGGTTGTGGTGCGGGAAGCCGTCCAAGGAGGTGGCGGAGGTGCCGCCCAGATCGGGGCCCATCAGGCCGCCGCCACTGCGGTAGTAGGGACTGGCGTCCAGGGGGGTCTGATCGTACCGCTGGACGCCTTGGATGATTGTGGGGAGCACTAAGAGGAGGAGTTGTGGCCACATTTTGGGGTTTCTCGCGGTTGCAATTACTTTCTGGGGTTAATTCTTTCTCCTTTCGTTATTCTCTTTCTCCTTTATCTGCCTTTATCTTATCTTCAGATCTCGCACATATTGACACTCGCGACACTCGCACACATTCACCGTTAACCGTTGTAGTGAGGAGGGGTAATATTTATCTGGGATATAAACACTTAGCACTCTTCCATCATTTGCCCGCGACAAATATTTCCCTTAATTTTAAATTTATTTTCCCGTCTTTCTTTACTTGCTGTAAATATTTGATTTTAATATTTGTTTCTCGTATCACTTGATTCCCTCCTAGGGGACGCGACGCGCCGCGAATCCGGAATTTCTCGAGCACTTTACGTCAAAAAGCGCGCGCGACTTGGACACGGAAAAACACGGAAAAGCACAACATGCCCTCGGAAAGAGTAGTGGAAAACTTGAACGTTTGAATTCGACTGGCCCGCGAAATTTGTCAGAGGGCAAGGTAAGATAAACTATGGGGTATGGACAAGAGGCAAAACGGCTCAGAAAATACAACGCGTGCGAGCTAAAATCCACCCCCAATACTCAATATACTTTGGATGGGTGAAAATGAGAGCCTTATGTTCATATTTGCGTCACTTTTTTGAGCGTTAGTCTTCTCAAAACCGGTCGGGCTCTCTTAACCTGCTCTCTTCAGTTGGTCGTCAACAGTGCTAGCTCTCAACCTGTTAGCATTGCAACAGAGCCTCTCTTTCGTTAAATGATGTGCTGAATATGCCTGCGCTCTGTTATTCAGCCGTAAGACTTCCACTTGGAACATAACATTGGCTATATTTAACAGCGACCTTGAATTTGAACCGCTCTCAGTGCATTAGTCAGAGAGACGTTTGTTTGGTAGCTCTCTTCATCTTTCTCTTCATGTTGATGCTGCTTTCGCTCTCTCTCCCTCCTGTTGATTAGGCTGAAGAAGTATCAACAAATGGTTAAATGTGGGCTGAAGGAATTAATTTGAATTTAAATTAAGCTATAATTGGGCTTGGTGGAGATTCTCAGAGGTTGGAGGTTACATATGTACATATGTATGTTTCCGTTCTTCCTAGGGAAATGTCGTTCAACCTTTATCTATTAGTCGATGCCGTTACGTTTCTTATTGCCCTCTCCCTCTCCACTATGCAGCTAATTTCTTCTTGCACTGGTACCGTTAAAACATATTAGCCCTGCTCTCGTCCCCCCCTCCCACACCCATTAATCTCCTACTCTCTTCTGCCGGAGCATATTTGCACGCGTTAATATCCACAATTTGCTGCGACAATATCTATCATTTATCTTTATCTATCTGCTCCATCTCTTCTTTCGGCTCTCATTTGTTTGTTTTTTTGCCATGCACTTAATTAAGTCATTAACTTGCGTTTAATCTAAGCTTAGCAGCGCGGAGAGTGTGGTCGCGAAGAAGGAGAACCAACGTCGCCGATGCCAAGCATTTCTCTAATGACCCCAAGGGGTGTATGGTGTATGGGGCCGGGGGAGATGGCAGTCAATAAACTTGTTATATTGACAATAATGATGACATTAGAGGGGAGTCTTTCCCTATTCCCCTCTCTCTCTCACTCACTCTCTGTCTTTTGTCTTTGTCACCTGCAATGCGAAAGAAGAAACCCTTTTGACCGATCATCATCCTCTGCATGTCTCTCCCTCTCTCTCATTCATTGCTAAACATATTTCCATGCTCAATCCACTGACATACGGGTTTTTGCTCTCTCTCTCTCTCACTCACTCACTCTCTTTTGTCGGTCGTGTGGGTTGGCTGCCGCTGATAAACAAGTGTTACCGGTTTAGCCGGCAATGTTCGTTCTATGCTCCTTCACCTTATGCTGCTCCCCCAATTCCCCCGTAGCATCTTCTCCACCAGGCCCCCCGCTCCACACTTCGTCGGCTTGTTTAATAAAAAGCGCCAAAGTTGCGCCGCATAAAAAGGCTCTTTCCTCTCTGTCTCAATCTCCGTCTCCGTCGCTGTCGCTGTCGCAGTCGCAGTCTCTGTCTTTTACTTCTTCTCTCTGCCTTTTGCTTTGGCTTCATTGTTGTTGCTCGTTGACGACGGTTTCCGTTGCTGTTTGTTGTACCCTACGAAAGTAAGGGTATAAAAGTTTTACACGAATCGAAAGCCGAGTAAACATAACCATCAAAATCCGATACTTCATACAAGAGGTATGTATGCAGTTCTAAGTTAATAATTTTTAAATACTGTCACTTCGAGGGTATCTAAAGCCTCGGCTCTCGAAGCTTACCTTCTGTCCCTCTGTTTTGCTGTTTACAAGTGAACGAACTTTGACGTTTCGCTCTCTCCGTCACCGTTTCGCCTCTCTGCCACTCTTCCCTTGTTAGAAAGTGTTTTTGCTGCTGTTCTCTTCTCTTCGCGCGTCTGTTTTTGGAATATGTAATTTAATGTAATTAAAATGGAATTGCTTTGAGAAAAAATACTCTGAGCGACGGAATGAAGACTCAGATGAACTGCTTGAGATAAGCGAAAGTAAAATTGAAAATTCCTCGTCGCCCGCTCTGCCACTTCCCTTTTTGGAGGTAGTTTATATTAAGAATAATTATATATGTGAGTACATAGTATAATGATAGTTAATGAAGGGGTTTCAGAACATGCTCTAAATGCAGTTAAGAACTGTTAAAGCGAAGCAGCAAATAAAGCATACGCACCATGGAAGAGATTTTCGTAGGTTGTGTCGCATTCGGCATGGTTAATGTGGCTAATTTACGGTTAGGGAAGCGGCGAACATAAGAACTGTGTTCAAGTTATTCAACGCATATTAGAAGGGATCTTCTAGACTTTAAAAGGGTTTTCCCTTCTGATTTCCCTTCTGATTCCCTCTTCAATTAGTCTGATTAGTGCACAAAAGAGTTCCGACTGCTTCCCAACAAAAGAACCCCAATCATTTGTAGCTTACAAAATACATGGGATAAACAAATCAATCCGCACAAGTTCAGTCATGTCTCGTGTCTCGCATGGAGAGCGAAAGCCAAAGCCAAAGCCAAAAAATAAACAGGCCCCGCTCAAAACCCCCTTAAGGACGCACATGTGTGGGAGTCCTAATGCAAAAGGGACTTGGCCCTAAGCCATAAAAAGGGTTTTCAGTTACTTACATAGAAAAATACAAGTATTTACTTTACTTTGCGTCTGACCCACCAACTCGCACTCCCTCCCCCAAGATGAGCTGCCGCTTCCCTGTCTGGACGAGCGTCTCAAGTCACATTAGTTGACCCCCAACACACCCCTCTCTTAACCCACGAAAAGGTCACGTGGCAGGCAAAACTTTCGTCCAGGGTCCACCCACAGAGAAACCAAAGTAAAATGTCAACTTTTAGCAGGGTCGCCGCTCTTCCCTCCCTCCTCTCACTCTCGAAAAGCCACTAACCAAGTATACTACTTCCCTCTAATTAGATGTAAAAGCTCTTCCAGAGGGTGGGTGGCTGCCGGCTATTTGGGGATTGGGGAAAAAGCCCCTCAAGTGTATCTCTTGATTAAAAGTTTACAATTTTTGGTTGGGTTTGGTTGGAGATTTTTACAGATCATTTGTTGCCATTTGTGCAATCAGAAATGCCCCAAGCAGAGCTCCCCAACCACCGCCCTATTGGCTATAGGCCCATCCAGACATTTCTCATAAATAAAACATTTATTTACTCAAAAACAGCCAACGGCAAAAAGCTCAATTAAATTTTTTGAAAAATTGCCAAAGTCCTGCGGCTGGGGGTGGTGTTCGAAGAGCAGAGAGGACTTGGCGATGGGTGGAGGATGGAATGGACCTGGACCTGGACCTGGAACTGGTCAGCATCGCATCGTTTTGGTGCAATCAATCAAAGGGCGAAACGGAATCTCATTAAGTCTCTCCCATTTGCGTTCCATTCCCCTCAAACTGTTGCATGACGTTGCATTTCTGAGGGCGGTGGGAGGAATGGGATAGAAGAGGGTGAGAGTGGGAAAGCGGGAAATACGGATGGCCATGGGATTTTTAAATATTTGTAACATCCACGGGTCATTCCCCCCAGGTGAATTACTGATAAAGTGAGCCAATCAATGCCATGCGTGAAAAATGTATAATTTTTTCACCATTTAAGATGCTAGCCAATACGGCGGTAATAATAATTTAATAGCAACAATTTAATGTGGTGCAGTGTGATACAGTCGAATAATTAAGGATATCTCATGCATTGAACCCATTTTGAGCTGCTCTTAGATATGCCCATTATCGGACTAGAGCCACACGAAACAGAGTTCTGTGGAAGTAGTTTCATCTTCATCCCAATAAAATCACCTTTTAAGCTATTAAGCCTTACGGATCCCATCCCCGAAGCCTGAAGCCTGCCACATTTGGTTTTCTCAGCTCAACTAGTCGTAAAAGCGGACTCTCCTCATAGCCCTAAAGTTCTTTCAATCTCGCTGCTGCATCTTTATGACTCCTGCCCCTTCTGTACTTTAAGAGGCACTCGCATAATTAATTGCATTCCCCGCCCCTGAATCCGCCCCCACTGCGGCACAGGGTCAGAAATACTGTAGTTTCGTGCGGTTATACGATATTTGGTTAAGGCTGCCCCTTGACTGCGTTCGGTGGTCGGCACTCACTTTTGGGGCTACGGAAATTTGCAATTCGCCTGGGCGCTGGCAATGCAATAGGCCCTCGGAGCGGGGGCACCGGTGCCCCTGGCTAACCAGCATACGCTGCGTATGCGTGATAAATGTGCCCTCGCGTGGGCGTGGCGTGGCGTGAGGTGGAAGGGGGCAGAAAGAGTAGAGGAAATGTGTGTGCGGTGCCCACCTACGCGTGCCTCGCTCTCTCTCTCTTCCTCTCCTGCTCCAACGGGCAGCGGGTAGCGGACCACGGCCGGGGAGAGGGACGAGGCTTTGGCCTAGGCCCCAGGGCGTTATTTATGCGATTTGGCTTACGACTCTTCCTGGCTTGTCTGTGGCGAGAGGAGGCGGGTGTTTGGGGTGGTTGCGGCACCAGGGGAAGTGGCAATGTATCCATGGGTGAAGATTTGATCAACTTTGGCTGCGGGGCCTCAAAGATTTTTCGCTTGTTGTTCGGCCCATTTTCAACTTTGAACTGCATTTGATTTACATGCAGTAAGACGAGACGAGAGGAAGCGTCGACGGGTTGTAGTTGGCCAACAGGCAGAATGGAGTGGAGTGGCAAATGGAGCAGGCGTTGGGGCTGGTGGATGGAGCTGGGGACTGGGAGTTGTGCGGAGTTGCCGACATGCCGGTTAATTGGACGTTACAGAGTTCTGGTGTTGGGTTTCGGTTGGGTTTCGGTTGGGTTTGGGGGTTTTAATCGAAAACAGTGTGAAAGGAATTTTCCTGTAATAGTTTAAGGGTTTGAAGAGGCTTTCATAGGTCATCAGTCATAGGACAAGTGTTGCTGTTACTTGGGTTAGGGGGTTTCCATTGCCTCTTTCTCTGCATTAACTAATCGCACACCCTCTCCAGAGGCGGCTAAGGACCCACCCTACTCAACAAAATTTGATTAGCAGTCCCTCAGCCAATTAACACAACTGACCCAAGCTGATCCCAAAACAAAATCTGAGCCTGAACCTGAGCCCAAAGCCGACCCCAGCCCCGAACCTGGGAAGGGCCTGTGGCCGAGCTGGAGCCACTTCAATTATATTAAACTATTTTGCCTCGTAAACAGAATCTGCCCGGCTTTCTTTTTTATGGCCCTCGGTTGAGAATTTGCCACACAACTAATTTATGGTCCAGAGATTTTCCGTTGTGATGCATTTGCCACCTCCGAAAGGGGCAGACTCCACAGCTGTTACCAGCCCGAAAATAGAAACGGAAGCGGAAGCCTGGCCGCCAGCTATTCCCTCATTTCAGGCTTATCAGGCCCAGGCACCCAGCCAACCAGCCACCCAGCCACCCAGCCAACTTGCTACAAATTAAATATGGCGGCGGCGGCGGTAACATATCGTCTGGAAAAATGGCAGACCAAAACACAAACTAGCAACAAAAACAGAAACAGAAAAAGGCAACGGCAAAGTCAAACAACAAAAAAAAAAAGAAAAGGAAAAGAGAACACCCAGAAATGAAGCCGACTTAGCCAACTTTTGGGCGAGGGTCAGAACGTGTGCTGACTCTAAAATTAACGCCACCTGATGGCCGAAACGTGTGGTAGGAGTCGGAGTCCAGCAAAGGGTTGGACCTTGGCTAAGGGTTGCGCTGCTCATACGCCACGCTGCCACGTGCCCCCAAACATCAAACGGCGACTCGAGGAATGTGGTAAGAGACCTGGGCCGCTGCCTCTGCCTCTACCTCTTCAAGCCCGGGGTGGGCGTGTGTGCCTACCTAAACGGAAGCAGCCAGCCACATGAAGAGTGTAAACACAAACGGGGCGCCACACAGCCACAAAGCAGGCGAGGGAATGCTCTCCTCGGAGACGAATTAATTTACCTAATTTAGGGAGCAGAGCAAAAATGGTACAATTATTTCCATACTGTAAACGTGGATTGTTAGATTGAATTAAGCACATCATGTCATTTATTTCATAATTAAACTTGTCTTACCTACTAGACCCACATACTCCTAGGTAGATAGCTGCAACCCTATCTACACATCTATTTCGGGTACCCGAAACTCTGTTATATTATGTTTTAGCAGCAAAGACCCAGACACAACTGGTTTGGTTTGGTTTGGTTTCCTCTTCTCTCGTGGGGTTGGACAAGTCCTTTGGGTATTCCCACAGGACCGGCCTGAGTCCCGTGCCCAAGATAGGGCATAATCATAACAAGCTCAAATATGGCTGGGGTTGCCCTGCAAAATGAGACGCGCTTTTGGGTTTGTTTCCCCGTCTGGCATTGGCGTCTGGTAACTTTTGCCGAGTGGAGCGGGCATGGATGCAGGAAGTCGAAGCAGGTGGAGGTAGATGCAGAGGTAGGGGCTGAGGTGAGTTAAAGTGACGATGGTAGAACTGCCGCCGCCGACGCTGACGCTGACGATCCGCACACTTCCGCATCCGCTGGAAAGTTTTTTCACATGAGGAAAATACCGAAACATAATCGGGAGGGTGAACAGCGGAGTGGGCGGGGGTGTAACATTAAGAGGGGATGGTGCAGCATTTTCCATGCTGCCTTTTGATGGAGCAGGCGCTTCGAAATTCTATTGATTTTGGCTTAAAGCTCCATCGCGTGTGAGCTTTAAGAGCCAAGGAGGGAGTGAGGGGTATCTAGGAATTTGTTGCGTAATTAAAAGCGCAACAGGGAAATTATGGCTGAAGGTGGGAGGATGACAGGCGGGTAGGAAGCCGTAACATTTGGAGCAGAAAATTAAATAAATTTGCATGTCAAATGCACATTAAAAGCGAACAAGAACGGCGCAATTTTTTGTCTCTCTCTCCCCCCCACTCTCTTTTAGCGATGCCTCTCTCTGCCATCCCCTCCTACCCCATCTGGTTCCTGATTGTGACAACAGGCGAAAAAGGATTTGCCACAGGACGAGACATGCAAGCCAACAAAGAATCCACAAAACAAGAAGCCAGGTAAGTTTCGAGCTCGAAACTTGTTATACCCTTGCAGGTGGTTTGTTTATTTATATATTTAAAAAGGTATTTTCCTGCAAATTCGTTCCCGGATAGGAACTCGTACAGTCGGAACTAGCAAATAAATTGGATTATAGACGCACACCCGTTTCCAGCGTATATTTATAAAAGGGAGCTCAAACATAGAGAGAGAGAGAGTATGTACGGTAGTATGGCGGAGATACCAACGGAATATGCAAAACCAGAGATGTGTCCTCCTCGCCGCCCCCAAATCTCCAGGGAAACCACCAAAAACAACAAACGAATGTCAACAGAGACAGAGCTGAAAAAATGTATTCCCGTTTTTTGTGTTGTGCGCAAATTAAATTAAAATGTTAAGTCTGCATGGGCGAGTCAGGGGAGGTGCCACAGAAGGGGGTGCAATTTTGTTGCTAATGATTTTGGCTTGTTTGGGGATTTTCAGTTTTTCAGCCAGCATCCAAGAGCCAGCAAAAAAAATATAGCAAACCAAAAACAAAACCAAAATGAAGCTGAAAAACAAAAACACAGTAAAGAAATTTTAATCCGGTTGGGGACTGCTTTGCACTGCGGCTTCCCCGTCCCCCCCCTCTAGCCGACGCACCACTCTTAGCCACATTCAAAGTAAACAATGCAAATTCCCCTCAACCCTCAAATTAGTTGTTTGCCACAGGCTGGGGAAGGGCTGTTAAAGTGTAAGGAAATTGCGGCCGAACTACTGGGAAATTTGTCCAAAAGTGAGCATTAATTGGCCACGTCGAAGATGGAGGAAATGGGGAATGGGGAATGGGGAAAACTCTGATGACAGAGGGACTAAGTTTTCCTTTTCCGAGCAAATGGTTAGTTACAAGTGCCAGACAACAGGCAGGGGCTGCAAAGAATTCAATGATAAATGGCCAACTGTAAGCAACAAATGCAACAAATCGGCTTAACTCTGGCACAAATTTATTTGTACACCGAGCAGTTCTAAAGAACAAGCTGGCACTGTTCCCTTTACGGGAGTGGTAATACTTTACCATAGTGGAGATGTGGAAGCTAACCAACCACACGTAAATAATTAATTAAATTAAAGCAAAGTCAACAAATCATTTTTGATAATCAAAAGGAGAAAAACATTAAAAAATGTCCAAACAGTGCAAAATTAAATGTAATCCAATGTCCCGCAAATAAATCTCTTCAGTTTGAGGTCATTGTAAAGCATCTATAATCTGAATTGATAGCCATTTGACAATTGATAATTTCCCATCATTAAAGGTAAGCCAGCGGAAACCACTCGCCTATTAATCAGCCATAAATCAGTCATTGGAAATGAATTATTGTACATTTAATTGTACTCGAATATTCCCCATGCGCCAAATTGACTTGTCGCAATAAAAACAGTAAAGAAGAAAAACAGAAAAACAGAAACCAAATCCAAGGAAATTAATGCAAAAAACACAAATATAAATAAACAACAATATTTAATAATAAGCAAAGCAGCGAAACAGCATGAATAAAATGGAATAACGGTGTACGAGTGCATATGTTAATACGCTACCCATCAATCAAACGAATTCAATTCCATCTCACGGGAAGAACAAATATCGCTGCGGGGGTTGGGTGGGGGGCAATATACACACATATACGAGTGTATGCATATTTTTATGCGGATAATATTTTTATATTTTGCAAACATTATAAATCAATAAACACAAACGTAAAAAGAGAAAATATCCACATGTAAAAAGGAGTCAGCCATACATACCGGTGTATGGGATGCAGGATGTTCCAGGAGTAAAAACGAGAAATTCGTAAACAAATTTTGATGGGGGTAGTGCAAAGAAAACAAGACTGAATCAAAGCTCGAGCGTAAACAAATATTTATGAGCCAGAAAATTGAGTTTTCCCCAACGATTTTGAGAGGGATACGGTCTGATACTGCTACTGCTACTACTTGACACTTCACCCGCCGGCTCGGCTCCTTCAAGGACAATAAAAAGCCCATTCCATATTGAGCCATTGGCAGCCGGCAGCCGGCAGCTGGCAGCGTGTCTGCTGCCATGTTGCATTGATAGACTCCGAGGCTGTCATGTTCTGGTGGCCCAATTTAATGTGCCATCAATATTTACCCCGCTCCTCTGGCTGCTGCTGTCTGATGCCTATCAGAGCAAGGACACCAGGACACAAGTTGTAAAAAAAGGAGCAGGGCTAAAGAGATGACTGCTCCTTACAATACACCAGAGAAAGGCTCCTCTCCGCGTCACCTAAAATGCCATCAGCAAAATTGGAAAAATTCCCCATACATATAATATTGTAGGTATGTACTATATATGGCTAGGTCTCCACTATGGCTATGACTCCGATTGTGATTGCGATTCCTCTACCAATTCCAGCGGAGAAATGGCTATAACTAGCACTGACATCTCGCCCCCCCCTCAAGGATTTCCTTCAATGGGACGTGAGCGGCTCTCAGAGGGGGCCCGAGAGTAGTTACATCCAGAAGCTGGCAGTTTGAAATGAGGCTATTGAGGCTGTATCTCTGCATCTCTGTATCTCCGTATCCCCGCATCTGAGTGTGCGTGTGCCAGGACCTAGCCAGGTTAGATGAGAAGTTAAGGAATGTTTAGCCAAGGATTCGAATGCCTCGAGCACAATTGCTTATGGCAAATAATGAAATAAGGAAAGAAATGGATAGGGAACGGGGAACGAGGCTGCACAGGGAAATGCTGAAGATATGTATGCAGGGATATACTTATGAATTTTGTATGTAGTTCAAGCAAAAAATCTTTTAAAGTCTCTGGGCTTCCATTGAAACCTTTAACTACACAAATGCATCACAAAGAGTCTGCTGAAAAGGGATTTAATGTCACTTATCCACCGGCTAAGTATTTATGAAGTTAAATCATTATGGGTTAAGTCAATGTGCTTAAAATAAAATTGAAAGGATTAATGGATTTAATAAATAAAAAGTGAAGAGTTATAAACCTGAAGAAAACACTGAAGATCGATCTTAACTTAACTTAACCTTATAAATAAATTTCTTAAAGCTACACTCAAATGTCAATATATACGAGACTTAAACTATCTGAAACTTCTGCCTAAATATACAGACACCCCTCTGGTAATCTACTTTAAGTGTGCAAACGCCCCATGCGTTTCTCTAAGGAATACTTCCACCCCCAACAAACCGAACGACCCAACCACCCAAGTGACAAATTCTTTTTACACCGTGCGTGTCAATGGCCTCGAGCTAAATAAAAGACATCGCCTCAAGTTGGGCATTTGACGCTTTTTAGGCCTGACTACTTTGTCAGAGAACTCAGCCGCAGTTCCCAAAAAATACACACTAAATGCACATAAAAAAGGAGACTTTCTCCCTGGGCTGCTCCCCCCTCCCTTTCAGCCCGCAACTCAACCAATTTGCGATAAAAATAAAACATATTGCTCGATAGACAACAGCCAGGAGAAGGCTAAGAAGGGCCTTGGCAGGGAAAGTAGAGTGTGGCTGGGGTTCCAGATGGCAGTTGCCAATGTGCCACACGTCGTATAAGCGATGCGATGGACGCCGAGGGATCAGGAGGCGGCAGGTAGGAGGAAAACTTTCACAGTTGCAGTTGTCACGTGCCGCATTTGCTACCTAAACATTTTTACTCTACTCGATTTGTATTTCTCTTTTTCCCACTGCCATTTTCCTATGTATTTCTCTGGCCTTTCAAATGGAGAAAGGGAACGGGGGGAAGTATTATGGAGGCTCTTTTTGGGAGGAATATGCTTAGGGGATTGAATTGGTACGGCTATCCATATGATTTTAGGGTGATTTCCTCTGCTTAATTATAGATTTAGTTATATTATCGAATTATATTGCTGTCATTCCCATTACTCCCAATAATTATGAAAAAAAGAAACGCTATTCCTTTGAGCATTTGTCTTAGTCTATTTAGTCTTTAGTCTATTTTCGTTTTGATTTTATCATTACCTCGCTTCCAACTTCCTTTACAGGGCAATGGCACAGTCTTCAATCCCTTGTACGGGTGCACATCCGTGTGTTTTTTTTCATGTAAGCAAACTTTTGCCGTAAGGCAATATTTTCTCCCTTAGAATGGATGGCGCAAAGTTTTCAGCAATCGGGGGTGCATCCGTACGAGTAGCGGCAGAGGGGCGAGGGTGCATTAAACGTATACAAAACACGAATGCAACTGCAGCGCCTCGACGAGGTATCTGCACGGGGATTACATTTCATTTATCGATTGATTTGGGAGACACGGCCCAAGTTGCCCCACAAACTTTGGGCGGCGTCAGGTAAGTTCTTAGTTAAATCATTCGATTGCATTTGCATTTGCCTTTGCAGTTGCACTTCCAGTTGCTGGTCTCAATCTTCTTGCGCATCACGAGAAGACTGCCAATTGATGCACAAATCGGATAATTCAATAAGCACAAAGCTCTTTGGCAGCCTGTCCAGAGGTACATCTACGGAGCCACAGTTTCCGATACAGTTACATTCGTCTGACAGCTTAGATCACATTTCACTTTAATGCGAGCACGGGAACGGATACTGGTGCGGGTACGGGTGCAGGTACGGGTACGAGTGAGTAGTTGCTGTTTTTTGTCAGCACTTTAAATTTGCAATTCATTTGGTTTTACCTCCGCCCCTGTGAATGCGAGTGCGAGCATTCCTGGCCGTATATAAATAATTCATCTAGACAAAGTTATAGCCCACAGCTTGAGACTGATGCTAAAATATTAGTGGAGCATTTCCAGGTACGAGCAGCTTCCCCATAATCACTCAAAGGCATTAAACATGATAAATGGCACTCGCACACACACACACATCCTGGGGAAAGGAGAGCTCTTAGGCTTAACCCTCTCTCATGTCATAAATTTTGTTCGGAAGCTGACATATGATGCTCGGAATATGTAAGTGTTTTTAAATAATAGAATTTTTAATACATTCTGGATAGGTTTCATAGGACGCCAGCTAAAAAAGACTTCTTTAGTCGCTGAAAGTTCTCCATACTGCGGTTGGCATTGGAAATGTTTATTTAAGATTGTAAATTTGATTTGAATTCAATATTTTGGCACCCAGCTGTTGTTCCAACCTCACAAGCCCCATCCCACGCTCGCCACTCATCAGCAACTTTATCCATAAAAATCCCTCAAATATAACCCCAAAAGGGAACCCTTTTTTCCGAGAAA